GTACGCCCCCTGCCAGGCGCCCGCTCCCGCAGAGGCTCGGGTGGTTGGGGCGGAGGCGGCGCGCGTGTCGGGGAGCGGCACCAAAGTTGTTCTCGCTCTGGTGCGCGGGTTTGGGGTGCAGGCCTCGGTCCGGCATGTTTGGGGTGTTCCTGATGTGCATCCAGATGTGCTCGTTCTAAAGATATAGCGGCGCTTCAACTTTTTAGTGCTCATGAGCTTCGTGGAGGCATTTTTTGCATTTCACCTAATAGCCTGCGTGGCCTTCAGCATCCTTAGTATTTTGCAGCAATTACGCCTAAAAGCTCCTTGTTATTGAACAAAGATCTCGGGCAGACGTAAAACGACATGGTAACTCCTTCCCGAGTGTCATACTCAGGGCCTTTTGTCAACTGAAAACTCTACACCGAATAGAAAATAAAAGCGAGGTGTCTGGAGAATAATGAAAACCGTATTAAAAGTCAGCCTCTAAATACCTGCCTGTCCAACCTTGATTATGCCTTCCAGAAACACAGCCTCTACCTCACCGTGTACTTGCACGTGCTTTTATCTGTGTGTTTATGATTAAAGTGATGACCTGCAAAGAAGTATAAGTCCAGCACGTTAAGTATATGTGATTCTGTGAAGTACTCTGAGATCTAAACTCCAGATTCCTTGTCCCCTGTGAGTTCCCTGGTTCACCGGGTTGTTTATTTGGTGTATGTACCTTTGTGGTCTGTACATAGAAGGTGTTTTTGGTTTATATCAGGAGGGTACGTTGACATCTGTCTGATACTAGACTGGTGAATAGGAAGAAGGTCCCATCTCTGGCCTGTTTGTGGAAGCTGGGATGATGAAGGCACTGCAGTGGGAACGTGCTGTGGTACAGGGTTGAAGCTCCAGCCCCTGTCTGGTAGTTATAGAGCAATTGGAAGGGTTACGTGCAGAGTTCTGGTAACGTAAGTGTGAGCAGCGTTAAAGTGGGGGCTGCGAATAGGGGTGCATGTTTTCAAAATACCCTTTAGCCTAAAAGCGGGGTAGGGGAGGGACAGCCGGGGGTGTCAGGGCAGTAGGTTGGTGGAGGAACCTCACCTTTGTTTTCTCCCTTTGGAAGACTGGCTTGCTAGTGAGATTGCATGAAAGCTTCAACTCTTACACTGTTTCTCCTTTTCCTCCACATTCTTATAACTTCATCACACTTCAGCCTTTCAAGCCAAAAGTGTTGAGGCCTGATAGCTGCTCAAGCGTGAGGCTTTTTGGATGGGGAGGTGGATTCTAAGAGAGTTTAACGAAACCCGCGTAGTCATCTTTTGAGAATCAATAAGAGCCTTATTTTGACTTGCAGGCTTTGTAAACTAAGCAAACAAAAGTTAGGTGCTCTGTGAAGTTCTGGCAGGGTGGAGGGAGGCAGCCGCTGAGTGCCCTCGCCTGTGCTAGGCTGGCTTTTAGAATCTGGAAATGGAGTTGCCTTTCATACCTTGTACTCTTTAAATAAGCAAGCTGTTGTGAGATTTTTGTTTAAATTGGCATCTTTCTGTTTAACTCCTGAAGTTCGCAGTTGAATCCAGGGGAGTCTTGGACAATTACAAAGTTCATTTGGAAGAATGCATCTGATTATTACACGAGACTTAATGTTTTTACGGAATCAGGTTTGCTTTGATGTTTTTGATGTGGAAGCTGAGCAAATAAGGGCCTACTTATTTTAAAAACAAACAAACAAAGAAAAACCCCAAAACCCAAACTTGACATTCCGAACAGAAACCCCTTCTTGATTCAGGTGGTGCTCCATTGCCAAGAATGCGTTATCTCTTCATGTGTGTCCATCCTGTGGGAGGAAAAAAAAGTCATGTAATTAAGCGTTACCTACACAGGGCCTTGCTGTGGGCAGTGTACTTGGTAATTAATTTGGCTCAGAAAAGAAAGCAGAGGAAGGAAGGTAAGAGTCTTGCCCCATCAGATTCTGATTGAATCACAGCAATGCAAATCCCGAGTAATTCAGTCAGGCAGCTGGCAGTCTGACTGCATGCCACCGATGCAAGGTAAATAATTCATCCTTAAGTGTGTTTATTGGTTGATTTGGAGTGAGTGAGTGAGGCAGGAATACTTGGCTTTGCTGTTGCGTGAGCAATTCATAAAAACAAAATTATCAGGTAATTGGGTTCGTTTAAATACTGCTTCTCTACATAGAGGAAAATGATCTTCGCATTTTAGCTCACACGCAGCAATTCCACGTGTATTTATTCTGCCCTAATATACTTCTGGAAAGTAAGTGTTTCATGCGACTCAGGGCATGCTCCTCAGCTTATCTGATGATTGAGACAGGCCCTTCAGAAACAATATTTACTCGTTAATTAGACTACTGCCACATCATAACAGAAGTGGGAGTGGGACAATTTGCAGGTAGCTGCATGAGAAACCTACTGTGCTCGCTTTCTCTAAGCAGCTCGCTCTGCCAGACGTTCTCTGAGCATCGTTTTTACCACATTTATTTTACGTACCGGTTTTGCCATAATTTGTTCAGGAACGGGTGCATCTTCCGCTTCACCAAATATTCTTTTGTGAATTTCTTTAGTTTTTGAACAGTGTTTTCACGACTGTAACAAACTTTGTCCGCTAATGCTGTTACACAGAGGAATGTAAGGATTAGAACGGAAAGGGCTTCTTCAGCCGGGTGCTCCTAAAGAGATTACGCCTCCCTCTCCAGAGGGCTAACTGGTGTCTAACTGGTCCTCCAACTGTGCGGAGAGTTGAGATGGCGCAGTGGGCACTCGACTGGGGACAGAGTCCTACAGAATCTTGTCCCAAAGATGGGAATGAAACGGGCAACGGAGAGCCGTGACACCATCTCACTTGGAAACAGGGTATCTCAGGAGCAGGGTACTCAGGTTGTTTTTCCCGCTGCTTAGTCCCGTTGGATGAGAGAGGAGGATCTTGTCTGTCAGGAATATCGAGTGATATTTGCGGGTTTCTTCCGAGAGTGGGGTGGTCAGAGCAGTGGGCAGCAGGAAGTTAGGAGCCCGAAGTTTGACTTCTTGGTCTGCTGTGGCTGTCTGTTATCTCGGGCCAGTCTATTTTCCCCTTTCTGCCTGTCTTTTCTTCCTGCGTAACATAACGCTAATGTCCCCTTGCTGCATCTGGGTCCTTAGTGTTGAGCTGGGGTGGAGGGACAGGCAGGGTCCAAAATTTTCACTGCTGTCTGTCACAGTGGAAAATGGTTTTCAGCTGTATTTGCTTGCTTGCAGATGCACAGACTTCCTCATTTATGCTATGTACTTGGGTGGATGATAATTGGGGAATTTTGGAGGTGTTCTGGGTTTGTAGTCGGTCCTTTTTTTTTTTTTTTTTTTTTTTTTTCTTGGGGGACTTTTGGGAAAGGGGGGT